CGCCATGGGATGATCCCGCTCCGGCGCCTTCGGCGCCTTCGGCGCCTCTTTTTTTTTTATTTTTTGGATTTTTTCTCCTCGCCACTGGCCCGCCCGCCCCACATGAACTATACTCCGGTATATATATATATACACATTATGAGACTCCGTGTCCTCTCCATCGCCGTGCTCGCCCTCGGCACCGCAACGAACAACGACACTCGCGTTCAGACGAACAAAACTGAAGGAACCGTCGTGGAAACCCACGGCCAACCAAAAAGTGGTACCACGTGGTTGGAGGTCATCGCCGTTGCCATCATTACGGCCGGCGGCGGCAAGGCAAATAATAAGACGCGTTCCGCGAACTTTGCCAACGAAATACTTGTTTCTAACGAGAAGCATAGGCTGCCGGGCGCCATGAGCAAGGCGATTGCGGTTCATGTCGCTATAGAACGGTCTTTCGATGCGTTCTTGAAACGTTGCGTCGATGACGGCATCACCATTGGGTCCGAGGCCTGCGTGCCGCCCGCGTTCCTCGGGCCGCTCCCGGTCAACGCGCGCTACGTGCTCATCCTGCGGGACCCGCGCGCCGTTGTCGTCAGCTGGGCTCATTACAACGAACGTGTCAACCTGACGTCGCAAGGGAAAGCCTCCGAGGACTACATAATCGAAACGGTGCCGAAGTGCGCCGCGCTCGTGTCGCTCCGCTACTACTGGCACGACGAGTTGGTCCGGCGGACGCACCCGAGCCTGATTTTGTTCTACGAGGATCTCGCCGCGAACCCCGTCGACGAGTACTACCGGCTCGCGTCGTTCCTGGGGGTCAGCCTCGAGCCCGACGTCATGCTCGGCGTCATCCACCGGACGTCGGCCGCGTCCATGAAGAAGGACGAGCAGCACCACCGGCTCCCGGGCCCGAACCGACCCGGCACCCCGCGAGCGAAAGTGCGGTCCGCGACGCCCGACGCCTTCCGCGAGGAAGTTTCAGCCCGAGCCTGGGCCAACGCGACGGCGGCGATGGCGCCGCTCCTCCACCCGGCGCTGCGGATGAAGTGGCTCTACAACGACCTCGATGTGAAGTTCCTGGGGCTCAATTTCGCTTACACTACCGTGACGTCGAACTTGAAGACGTCGGTGGAATGACAGCCGCAGAGCAGCGTCGTCATCCGCTCCGCGAGGTACGAGTTCCCGTCCGCGAAGACGCGCGTGCCCGGCGGGAGGTTGGCGAGCTGGAAGCGCCAGGGCCGGTAGGGGCGCGTGCGATTGAGCACCGCCGCGTACGCGTCGCCGACGCACGCCCAGTTGTAGCGCGTGAGCGTGCACCACTCGTGGTCGCTCGCCGACACGACGTCGTAGTTCGCCCGCAATTTCTTGCTCCAATCTGAAATCCCCGGGGTCCTTTGGGCCACGCGGGCAAGGATCGATGAGTAACAGGTTTCGAGTTTGCTCTCTTGGTCCCCCCATCGACCTAGTGCTGAAACCACACGTCAAGGGGAACATATCGTTGACTCCGCCAGCCTTTTTCTTTCCTGCGGAGTGCTGCGGGGTTTTGGCTGACGTCGCCTCTACAATTTGGATGGAGAGGTACGCCTGGAAGCGCGCCCGAGAAGCAAGCTCGAACGCGAGGCTGCGGAGCGGCGCACTCGCTGACGACGGTGGCGTCCTGGCTGATAGAATCTATAGCACTCGCGTTGAGGTGGGCCAGGGCGACTACGAGAGACAGCGCCGCTGCTCGGGCACCGCACGTCATCCTGAGGTGATGGGCGCAATAGTGGAACTCGTCGATGGCGGCGACATCAAAATTACGCGCGTTTACGCGCGGCATGTTGTCGAGGCTTACCGTGCCCGGGTTCCACTGGTCAAGGAGAGCACCGTACTCTTGATGTCGGATGTTGGCGTGAAATCGGAAGTTACCGCTCTTGACGGTAGACGGCGACGTGCACCAAAAAGTCTCCTGGGCGACTACGTTCCCGCGAGGTCGCTTCGGGTGGTCGGTGCAATAGGAAAGGAGGTGGTCTGTGCGGTAGAGTCCATCCGATGCCACCCATCTGGCCCATGGGTTACGACTCTTTAGGTCCTTTTTGCACGTCTCTAAAATTGAAGTGTCGGCAAGAGGTCGTAGGGCCTCGGCGTTCAGGATCGCAAAGGACGAATAGACGCTCGCTCGCGGACCAAGAGCGCCGCCACCGCCAGTCACGATTGGAACTGAAACGTTTGCATCGAAGGGGAGCGTCCTAGCTATCGCATCCAGGAATCGCGGCAACGCCAGAACGTTCCACCAGACGTCGTGCGTGGTGAAGATGTAGTACCTGATGCCGAACGGGTCGAATTTCGCGAGAGCGCGGCCGTAGGCACATTCGTGTCGCCTCCGCATGGCTGATACCTGGTTCACAGCGCCTGGGAATCCGCAGGATTCGACACCCAATTCAGGAAAGTCACCATCTGCATAGATTGCCTTGTGCTTAAAATGTGCGAGGAAGGCGCGATTGATCGCGTCGATTCGATCCGTTCGCACGTCGGCGTTGCTTAGAACGACCTAAGCGATTCAATGGTGTAACTTTCGGTGGGGGGTCACCTAGGCGCCAAATAGACAATAGCGGCAAGGCAGTCGCCCCGCAGATCGCAAGGTCGAGGCGTCGGATTTTCTTTTAACGCGTCAAGCGTGGATTCATTGAAATCTAATCGGAAGAGTCGATGGTCAGAATCGCTAATCTCCTGGCGACGGCCACGTTCGGGCAACCCGTTTGCGGTCGCCAGGGAGAGTGGCGGCAGGTGTCCGTCGTCGAGGATCGTTGTCCATGCCCGCTTGCGACAGAGCGGTGGGAAGATCCGATAGACAGAGCGCGTACTCCGAGAGAGAGAGGCGCCAACGGTGATCTGGCTGAGGCCGGATGGAAAACATGCTTGTGACGCGAGTTTTTTGTCGACGACGCGTTTCTCTGATCCTTCCCACTCGAAGAAGCGCTGCCAGCAGACGACGCGAATACCGCGCCAATCACCGGGCAAATCTTCTGGAGTCGTGCTCGCAGCTTGAAACACTACGATGTCTGGCTCAGGGACCTCGCAAGGGAAAATTTACGTACGCCGAAGCGCGCGTCTGGCCATCGCGTCTCGCGGAAGAGCGTCGGTCGCCGCAAGTCGTGTCGTCACCACCAGTGATACGCTGTCCCACGCAAGCCGGAGATCAAAAAGCTCGAGTTGATCGACCACGGGCCAAAATTCGGGAGGCTGGAGCCGCCGCGAAAAGCACGCATGCTGGTCAGCCTCGGCAACGTGGAAGCGCTCGTATTCGGCCAGCAACGCTACCAGAGCGAGTTTCACGGATGACGGCACTGTCCTATACACGTATACAATCCATTCGAAGCTCGCGTGCGTCTGCGCAAGAACGCTTGGAAAAGTGTATGAACGGAATATTTCGAACTCGGTTAAAGGACGGGCAACGCTCTCGCGTCGCCCGAGCCTCGATATCAACACGTGTTCCACATTCTGCCAGGTCTTTGGTGCACGACGATGTGATAGCACTGACGCGCATGCTGGTGATTGTCCCTGTCCCAGCGCAGCTAGAAGGACCACAATCGAGAGAAGCATATGCAATTTGGAAGATTGCTGAGGAACGTTGAAATAATTTAATTGCATTTTCGACGACTTCTAGAGAAAGTAGCTTTCTAGTCAATCAGATAATGATTGGCAGCAGCCCGGCGCTGGACCGCTTGCGACAGCGCCGCCACAGCTGCCTCAAAATCAGGGGAAACAACCAGCTGCAGATAATTCTCACGCACCAACTGGTGCACCGCCCGACCGATGTAATCCATCTGCAGCCAGTGCGCGAAACGACCATATGGCTAGCCGCGGCCATAGGAATTATTAATTATTAATCTGCGGTCGCCCGGCTAGAGGTCCTCATAGAGGCCCTCCGTCCACCGCAGGCGCGGGGGTCCAACGGACGTCCAACGGGCGTCCAACGGACGTCCAACGGACGTGGGACAATTCGTTTAAAATATTCGTTTCGGGCTCTGACCACGGTCGACCCCCCCCAGAAGTACGAAACAATTGCTAACGATACCGGGTGGTCCCGGGGGCGGTCACGACGCGTCCGCCCCAGTCCGGGGACGTCCGCGAGGGACGGCGTCGGCCAGGGGCTCGGATGGGACGGCGTCGGTGGTGTGGCGCGCGCGCGCGCGAAACGACGCCCGCGGGCGAAACGCGCGCGAAAAGCGGACTCAGTGCGCCGCCGCGGTCGTGATCGCGCGCTCGGCGGCCGAGGTGATCGTGTACGTCGCGCGTGGCGCGACGGCGGTGGTGCCGCCGACGACGGGCTGGTCCTCGCGGCCGTCGCCCGAGTCGAGCTTTCGGAGAACGCTCCTGCCGTTCGCGCGGTAGATGCGGACGGTGAAGCGGCGCGTGTCCGCGCCCGTGCGGTCGAAGAGGCGCACCAGGACGACGGGGTCCCCGGGGCGGTACTCCTCGTTGTCGTGCGTCCGCGTCGCGCGGTCGTCCGCGACGACGTAGCCCTTCCCGCCGCTCCCGCGCTGCTCCATGACGCGCGCGAGCAAAAAGGCGTGCGTGCTGCCGCCGCCCTCGCGCTGCGGGCGCCAGTAGTCGCCCGTCTCCAGCGCCACAAGTCGCCGACGTTCAGCGACTCCGCGAGCGTCCACCGACGCCCCCCAACTAAGGGCTGCCCCGCGGCGGCAACGACGACGGGCTGCCCGTAGAACCGGCCACGTTCGCGGCGCACCTTCGGCTGTGCGCGAAGAAGTAGAGAGTGCGCGCCATGGTCCAAAACCCATGATCAGCAGACCATGCAAACGACGCTATCGACAACGATGTCGATTTCGAGCGGCTGTATCTGGGCTGAAATGCGCCAATTGCGCATTTCAGGCGAGGCGCTGATTGGCTACGCAATGGTTCCAGCGCTTCGCTCCGCTGGAGGCGGCCAGGACCGTCCCCCGCGGGCGCGCCCCCGCGCCACCCACGTCCCAGGGGGGCCTGGGACACGTCCGGCCAGGCGCCGGGGCCGAAGACGTCAACCCTGAATTAAACGGAGTTTCAGGGGGGAGTCGACCGCGACCCTAGCCTTCGCGCACTGTCTGCAGCCCTGGCGAAAACTTCCTCACGTCCCAGGTGAAACTTTGAAACGTCCCGGCTGGGGGAACGTTTGGGGAACCTCTCTGGGTCCGTCGGCCTTCATTCTGGCACACTTTAATTGAAATTGAGCTCAGCCTCCCACTTGAGGGAGGAGTCTACTCTGCTTCCTTTAGCTCAGGCTAGTGGGAGATACGAAAGGCCAAGTGGAAAAGGCGTCGGAAATTGCATTTACGGCAGTACAATATGTTTCCGGTAACGGGTTAGTGAGTTTAGACCACCTATCATCATCCAGCTAAATAAAACTGCTGGTTGTGGTGGTCCTCTCCCAGGGAAATTTATAAAGCTTAAGCTTATTGTACCTAATTGTACCTATGACATTTTGGCAGGACCAAATCTCGACTTGTCAAAGCACGACTCATAGTGAACTTTGTGAAGTCTTCAAATTTCGACTGAATTAGTAGCTTCTAGCGTACGCGACTTTGGTGGCGGCGTCTCCCTGGGGATTCCGCGTGCAGCGGTCGCGGCGAACGGCGACGCTTCGGAGGCGGTCCAAATGAGCTCGCTTTTCATTGGTCGTATATCATCATTCAAAGAGATCTTGGGGGAGCTCTAAGAGGCCGACGGCGCGTCCACTCGAAGGGCGTGGCGGCTTGCAAGCGAATGAGCGCCGGTCCACGCCCATGCTTCTTAAATGGATTTAGGGAGGACCGGTCTAGTTCGCCATGTCTTCGCACGCGTGGGAAACCGCCATCCGCTCGACAGCTCGCGGCGGCCGAAGCGCGATGTGTCGCCTCACCGAGCCGACGCTCCGTTCCGCCGCGAGAACGCTCGCCTCGCCGCGACGGCCTCGATCTCGGAAAGGCCGGCGCGATCTCCGTCGTCGAAAGCGACGTCCCACAGCTTCATGCGTCGCGCCTTCTCTCCCGGTCGGCGCCGCACGTCCCCGACCGTGACCTCGGCGACGGTGCCGTCGTACGCTTCTCCGTCGTAGAAGAACTTGGTGACGCGGTCGCCTTCGCCCGGCGCCTCCCCCGACCCGAATTTTTTCTTGTTGAAGACGCCGTACGCTTCTTTGTACCATTCCTCGTCTTCGGCGAGCTCCAGGACCGTGTACAGCGGACACGGGGCGTCCCCGGCGTCCACGACCCACTCCGACGACGTCCTTTGGTAGCGCACCTTCGCGATAGCCTTGCGCAGACCATCTTGATCCGTGAACCATTTTCCCGCGAGTTCCTTCGTCCATTGCTTCGTACCAAACGCCAAGAGCTTGTTCGCCGCTTCTTCCGCGACGCGAATTGATTTTCGCGGCATGGTTTGCTCGGCGCATCGGCGCTTTCTTCCCGTTTTTGCGTCGCTTCCTTTCCCGCGGCGCACACGTCCTCGCGTGATGCCGTAGGCCACGCCCAACCCTCCGATGACAACGCCGAGGCCCGCGATACCTCGAGCGAGCTTACGTCCACTCATCTTCGCTCAATAGAGCGTGTTCAGTGGCGCCGAAGCTCTAGAGGTTACTAGTACTTAAGTAGTCATATAGGGATCCCTAGACTTCAAGAGCTAGAGATGCCCCCCCCCGGGCCCGCTTCATCTGCAGTATGCCCAGGTGCCTTCAGAGATTATTTCCGTGACGGAGGAAGGTAGGGCAGGGTGGGCTGTTTCGTGTTCGTTCAACCTGAATGTGCTCCACGCGGGTCGTCATACGACCATAGTTTCACCCGTTCATATGGTGATTTTGAAGTGAAAATTAGAAGCACCCCTCCCTCCCCTGAAAATTATAATTCACCCCTACTTAAATTAAATTAACTCCTGCTCCTGCTTCTACTGCTGTGGAAACCTGGTGCAGTGGTCATCTAAGCGACAGACAATCACTGCAGGTAGTACCATGCAAGGGCATAATATTTTAAAAAAGCTTAAGCTAATTGTAATAAAACTAGAGCTCATTGTGGTAAAGCTTAGTGAAGATCGATGAATTCAACCGCTGACTCGATGAGAATAACTTCACTATAATGAGATCAACGACTGGCGGTCACTGCAGGCGAGCTACTGCTATCGAGCATGGCTGTCAACGATCGCTGATGCTGGGTTCGGCATGTTCCGGGTCTTCGAGGGAGAAAGTGAGGGTAGTTCGCAGTAGAAACCCGGGGTCGGCGGTCTCGAAAAAACACTCCATGTCATCCGAGGGGCTGCAGAAGCTGAGCGGCCCTGTGGGGGCGCGACGCGTGACGCGAGGGGGGCGGGCAAGAGTGATCTCGGCTTCTGCGTGTTCGCCCGCGACACGGACTGGAGTTTCGAGGTCTCCGAGCCCGAGTTCCTACGGCGAAGTGCTCTCGTTTTCTTCCCCCGTGAAGCATAACATGCCAAACCCAGCTTCATAGATCGTGGGGCCATGCTCTGTATAATGAATTGCTTGCAGTGAGATACGTCCGACCAATGAGAGCTCTGCATTTCTGCTCGAGCTCCACTAGTGAGCTTTGCCTCGCCGCCGAGGGTCCTGCTGCTCAGCGACTGGGCGCAAGACGAACTGGGCCGACAAGGGCAGCGGCAGCGCGAAGAAGCGCGACGCCTTGTGGTACCTCAAGAACATCGAATCGCACGCGCTCATGTACCACCACCGCCCCGGGCCGGGCCGCAAGGTCGCCATGGTCTGCGACGACAACGGCGACGGCGTCTACTGGACCGGCTACGTCCGGAACGTGAAGGCCCCGAAGGCCAAGGCCGGCCGGCAGCGTCGCGTACATCATATGCTTCCCGGACTACCCGGGCGCGGAGGAGCTCGCGAACGGCCTCGCCCTCGCGGACGAGCTGGGCTCCGCCGGCACGTGGTAAGGCGCGCAGGGCTAGCTACTAGGCCTTAGCCTCCTCCTCCTCCTCCTCGGCGGCGGCGGCGGCGGCGGCGGCGGCGGCGGCGGCGGCGGCGGCGGCGCGCGCGCGCGCGCGCGCGCGCGCGCGCCGCGCTGGGGAAATTAGGCCAGTCCTATTCCGTCGTCGATGCTCCAGGCACTGTCGCGTCGTCGGTGTTGTCGCCCGCGTGCCAGAGCATCGCGCGCCGCGTGGGCGGCGGCGCCAGGCGCTCGGCGGCGCGCGGCGCGGCGACGCGTGGCGCGGCGGCGCGTGGGGCTGCGCATTCCCTTCGATCGATGTGTGGTGCGGCTCCGGTGCGATGCGTTGGGGGGGGGGTGACTCGCCGGGGCTGCCCATGGCGATGGCTGCCCCACGAGTTGAAGCTTAGCTCGTTTACGATGACTCGTAGCTCGACAACAATGACTTTATTACGAAACTAGGATTAGGTTTTTCTACAATAAGCTTAAGCTTTATTAAAATAAATTTCCCCATGCAAGCAGGGCTTATAGCAGCCTCAAGCGGGGCTGATAGTCTGGTATATGTTTAGTTTGTGTTTACCCGGCTTGAAGTAGCCAGCATACATGAACATGCCGCTCATGCTCGTCACCTTCGACATGTCCCAGCTGCCGATGTCTTGGTCGAAGGATCTAGCTCTGCGGAACATGCGGAACGTGTCCGTCACGGCCGACGTGTCCCAGGCGCCGATGTCCTGGTCGAAGGCGTCAGCGCCGTGGAACAAGTAGCGCATGTCCGTCACGGACGACGTGTCCCAGGCGCCGATGGGCTGGTCGAAGGCGTCAGCGCTGTAGAACATGCGGCTCATGTCCGTGACGGACGACGTGTCCCAGCCACTGATGTCCTGGTTGAAGGCGCTCGCGTCGTCGAACATGGAGTCCATTCTCGTCACGGCGGAGACGTTCCACGTGCTGATGTGGCCGTAGGAGGCCTCGGCGCTCGCCGCGTCGGCGAGCCACTCGTCGACCGCAGTGTAGAGCGCCGCGTTGGACGCGAAGGCGAAGGAGGTCGGCCGAGGCGTTGGCTGTGGCGTGGTCGTAGGCGCGGCCGTCGTGGGCATTGATGTAGGGGAATAGTACGCAGCCGTCGGCGCGGGCGCGCGGGCGACGAGGGAGAGGATGAAGATCGACCGCAGCATGGTTGTTTGTTTTTGGACCAAAAGAAATGCTCGCGATGAGGAGTGTCAATAATTATTGCGAATTCCTTTGTTCCTGCCAGGGCGAACACACACACACACGCACCACACACGTCGAATGTGGTCGCATGCACACGTACGAATGCGGGTTAGGGGCGGGGCTTAGGCGCTCTAGAGGTCGTCGTCGTCGTCGTCGCCCATGTCGCTTTGAGCACGTGAGCTGAGGTGCCCCGTACGCCGGGCGCCGGGGGTACCGGTGCGACTCGGCTGCCCAGACTAATAAAAATAATAAAAAATCCACCCACGCGATGGAGCAGCGCGGCGCCCCCGGCGCTCGGCGTATGGGGCACCTCAGAGGAAGCTTTGAGTACGGAATATGGTCGCCTCGAAACGGCGACCAAGGGGCGCCCATCGGGCGCCGGCGCCGGCGCCGGCGCAGTCATCGAAGCGCAGGGCTGCCCCAGACGCTGTCTCCTCGCTCCTGCTGCTAGTTGACGAACTTCACGATTGGTTCAATCGATTATTCACTTAAAATTACACTGTGATCTTTTGTCCGCACACGTGCCCTACACACTAGTGTGTGGCGGGGTTCTCAGATTCACGTGTGCTCGAGTAGTATCTGAGAATTCGCTACGTGTGTGTTCGCCCTGGTTCCTGCCGATTATCAGGATATATAAAGGTCGTAATATTAGAAAAAAGTATCTGTTATGGTAGTCGTCTTAGTCACGCTGCCCCAGCTGCTGACGCTCGCCAAGGACGAGGTCGTCGCGCGCAAGGACGCGGAGATCGCTGGGCTGCGCGAGGAGCTCGCCGCGCTCAAGGGCGACGGCAGCGACATGACGGGCCTGCCGGCCGTGCTGCGCGACTTCACGCCGCTCGCGATGGTCGACGACGTCGCGGCGATCGCCGACGGGCCCGAGCTCGATTGGTATTAATTATGGGAAGACGCGTCGATATGATGGGACATTAAATTCCAGGTAATGATGGTCAAAAATGGTGGACGGTGAGGTCCCTTTTGATATTTTGTTTTGAAGTGAGGTCCATTTCGACATTACTTTGGAAGGCGGGGTCCATATTGATATTAAGGTCTCTTGGTGAGGTCCTTCTTGGTTTTGATCCTATATATATATATATACTATTTATTACTCCTTGGCGACAATGGGCTGCCCGCGGCGCCTGTTCGCGGCCGCGGCCCTGTGGCTGGTGACGTCGTCCCAGCGCGCGCGGCCGCGCCGCGACCTCGGCGCGTCGAGCGCCGCGACGTCCGGTCAGCGCTACAAACCGCAGCGCGTGGCGACCTACGCCGGGCCGCGCCTCGGCGACACGGTGAACCGGAGCGCGTCGCCGCTGCCGCGGCCCTGGTCGGCCTGCGAGCGCTGCGGCGTCGTGACGACGATCAATCCGCCGAGCGAGGCGATCCTGCGCGTGGGCAACGCGTCGGGCTGGTGCCTCGTCGTCGTCGGCGACCGGAAGACCGCCGACGGCCCTTACGAGGCGCTCGCGGCCGCGGCGCCGGCGACCGTCGCGTACCTGAGCGCCGCGGCGCAGGAGACCCTGCCCTACGGCCTCGCGAGCGCGACGCCCTGGGACCACTTCGCGCGCAAGAACCTGGGCTACCTCTACGCCATCCACGCGGGCGCGGCGACGATCTTTGACTTCGACGACGACAACGTGCTCCTCGGCGCGCCGCCGGCCTCGGCCGGTGCGGCGGCGCGGGCGTCGGACCCGCGCCTCGCGGCGCCCGACGCGCCCGACGCCGGGAGCGCCTTCTTCAACGCCTACGCGGCGTCGTTCGGCGCGGAGAAGGCGTGGCCCCGGGGATTACCGTTGGACGCGATCAACGGCCCCGCGGCCGCGGCCGCGGCCGACGACCCGCGCGCGGCCGACGACGTCGTCGTCGCCCAGCTCCTCGCGAACCACGACCCGGACGTCGACGCCATCTACCGCCTCGGGCCCCGCGCGGCGCTGCCGCTGCCCTTCGACTTCCCCTCGTCCTCGACGGCGGCGCCGTCTGCCCCTTCAACGCCCAGGCGACCTTGTTCGACCGGGCCGCCTTCTGGGCGCTGCTCCTGCCCGCGTCCGTCCACGGCCGCGTCGCCGACATCTGGCGCGGCTTCGTCGCGCAGCGCGTGCTCCGGGCCGCGGGGCTCCGGCTCGCGTTCCTGCCGCCGGGCGTGACCCAGCTCCGCAACGACCACGACGCCCTCGCCGACTACATGAGCGAGCGGCCCTTGTACGAGAAGGCCGACGCCGTCGTCCGCGTGCTCGACGGCGTCGCGCCGCACCGGCCGGGCGGCTCCGTCGCGCGCGCGGTCGAGGACGCCTACGTCGCCCTCTACGAGCACGGCCTCGTCGCCCTCGACGACGTCGCCTACGCCCAGCTCTGGCTCGCGGACCTCTACGCCGTCGGCCTCGCGCTCCCGAAGCTCCGGCGCCACAAGGCACGGCACCGGCCGGTGGGCGCGAGGGGAGCTTAGTCCGCGGCGGCGCGGGGCTCAGGTCGACGGAACCGGCCGGTGGGCGCGCGCGAGCCTCGGGCCGACCTCGGAGCGCCTCGATTGCTCAGAAGGTCGTCTCGGAGGGCACGGGGGCGTAGACGCCAAAGTCCGGCGCGGCCCGCGGCGGCAGGAGCGCGTCGCCGACGTAGCGCGGCGACGGCGAGGAGGTGGACGCCCGGCCAGACGAGCACGGACCATCGCGCGAACATGGAAGGGACGAGCGCGACGTAGAGGAGCGCCTTCGCGACACTTTCGGAGAAAAACACCTCCTGGGTAATCATGCGCCTGAACATCACGACAGAAAACGGGAGCGACGAATTGACCTTCCCCAGGAACGCGCTCGACGTCGCGCCGAGCTCGAGCACGAACACGACGCACGCAGCGAGGAGCGCATAGACGCACGTGGCGCTTTCCCAGTGAAGAGTAGACCCGAGGGGCAAGGAGTACCGTCCGAGGGCGCAGCCCGAGGCCGGTGCGACGCAGCCTCGAGCGGTCTACTCTGAGTGGAGTCACCCTTCCGCCTCCTGCATTCTGCTGGTCATGTTTTCTCTCTGCCGTCGCTCTGTGAGGCGTCGTCGAAGTAGGGGCCCATCGTCGACCCCCCTTATTTTAAATCTTAACTCTAGTTATTCGTGATATATATCATTCCGGCGTTGTGTTAAACGCATACGTATGCGGGATCGAGTGGCTGTCGGAGCTCGGAAGCGCTCTGACAG